CTTGGTTTTCAGGGTGATGAAGGCCTTATGCGCCCTGATCCACCTCTCATCTAATGGCCCCGCCAGCTGCAGTTCTGGTGGGTCGTGATCCCGTGCAATCGGGTCGTTCTGGTCCATGATCTTCCTCAGATCCGATCGTTTCTCCAGTTCTGCAAACTCCACCTCGCGTAGTTCATATAGCACCGAGGCGTAAATAGCGTAGTCTTCAATGAACCGGCTGTAGTAGTTCAAACTACCCAGGAACGCGGAGTGACCCGGGGAATGGTAAATCGGTCAGGGATTTCAGATCTTTTGGGTTGGCTTCCAGACCTCCGATCGACACTCGGTGTCCCAGATAGCCTACCTTATCCATGGCCCACAAGATCTTTGCCACACTGATCGATAGATTCCACTTGTCACAAGCCTCCAACCGATCTTCCACCATTTGGCATATTTAATCCCACGATTCGGCTGCGATCATAATGTCGTCAATGTATGATCTCATATGATCTTCGTCTCAACACAGACCCGCGATCCCTGTCTGGAACACGTCCATTGTAGTCCCGGCATCGCCTGATCGCGAGATCTTCAGGAAACCATACAGCGCGTTGTCTACGAGGCGTTGATAAATCTGCGGGGCATTTTTTAGGCCGAAAGGCATGCGACACCCTTCGAATAATCCAAACGGGGTGAAAAATGCTGAGATCTCGCGAGCCCAATACGTCATGGGCACGACCCAGAAACCACTGGCCATATCCATCGAGCAATACCATAACGCCTTATCAAGGTCCTCTAGCAGATCGCTGATCAGGGGCATAGGGTAGACCATCAACCTCGTGAGGCTGATTACCAGCTTGTAGTCGATGCACAACCTGATATCCACACCATTACGCATGCGGACAATCACGATCTGTGAGGCCCATGGCGATGTCGAGGGTTGGATGATCTCGGCTGCTAGGAGGCCCTTGATCAGGCCTGCGAGTGTTTCTCGAAATCGCGTGGGTACTTTCTGGGATCGCAACGCGATCAGTCTCGCGTTCCCGCCATCGATGTCACAAAAGCGTTCCCGACATCGATGTCACACAAGACGCCGGAGGTAAGGCGTTCCCTTTGTCGATCAGGAGGTGTTGCTTTCTCCAAATGATCTGCCGGAGCTTCTCGATCTCCTCGGGTGTGGCCGATCCGCAGTCTCCCACCTGAAGATCCTCAATACTGACCTTCGCGGTCGTCGAGATAGGAATTTCGGGGAGAACGGCTAGGTTTCCTTCTTCAGCCGAGAGATTACCACTCTCATGGTAATATATCTCATCATCGTCCTCGGCATCCTGTGGGGT